TATTTCAAATTTATTTGTCTTTGGTGATAATTAGGTATTGTAGAATTCCTTGCCTCCTCATCGTACCATGTGACTGTGGGATATCAAGGCAACACTTATCAAGGTAGCTGAACTGTATGTCCGCTATATGTCCTGATGGCGGGTCCACTTCATTAGCCATTGCTACTTTTCCTTTCTATCATCATTCTAGCTAAATTTCTCTAATCAGGATGACATCCCAATGCCCTCGCTTTAGGACCGAGTTAGATGGATGAGCGAATCGATATCTCATTTACTTTTTGGACGCAGCTTGATGTTATCCATGTAGAGAAGATAGTTGATGATAATTTCTTTCATCAATTTATATCCATATCCGCCTCTGGTGATTCGATTCTGAATGAATGGAATTATGTAGAATAATGGAGGAGATAATGCTTCGCCTTGGTATATGCGGCACTAAATAGCTACTTATGTTCTGAGTTGATTTCAAGTGCCATTTTCCACGATTCCACTGAGTTCTCAATTAATGTCCTTAGGCTTCTATTGACTTTGTATAGAGCCGGATATTCATAGACCCATGTGAAACATTGAGTCATAGGCTTTCCCATCATTTTTGGTCTTGTTCCATAGTTCTTGTTGTTCAAATAGAAGTAAAAATTCAAAAGTTTAACAGTTCTTGGGAACCTAGTTGTTTCACCCAAAAGTCCATGTGAAAAATTTAAATTTTAGAATAAAACCGGCGCTTAAACCAGAAATGGCAGGTGCTAATTATCTAACGCAGTACTTCACGACATTTATTTCATCATGTTCGTTCATTTTGAGAAAATGACAGTCCAGCTGATCAAGTTTCAAACAGTAGCTTTCAATAGTTATTTATGTATTATTTATTTCATTCATTTAACGATTTAAAGATTCTGAATAAAATCCGCTGCCGGGAATTCAATCAAGTCTATCCTGTAGCAATAGCCAACAATTAAATTGTATCAACAATTTAACGATCAATGTTTTTTCTGTTCTGATTCAACAAAGCTTGACATTTATTATAGATTCATTGAACATAAATTATTTTTTAAAATATTCCTTGGATTTTGAAAAGGCGAAAAATATTTTGAAATTTTATTGATTCAATTAAAAAGCTAATGAATTGTCCATGTTCATGAATGAGCTAATTATTAAACGAAAAGATAATCTGCTGGTGGAGCTGAAAAATGGTCGTTATCCATTAAAAATGTTTATTCTTCATATAGCTCCGATTCTATAGTTTTATAAATTCTTTCGTAATATACCAAATATATTACACATTACATATTTAATGAATATAAAAAAATATATTGAATATAAGAATAATGTATAAGCTAATGCGCATACGCTGTTAGAAAAAATATAAAACAATAATGAAAAAGAATTTCGTTATTTACAAAATTAAAAGATATTTTGCTATCGTAAGTAACTAAAGTTTGTTGATGCCGTAGAAGCGCCAAAAAAATTTGGTTGTGCTTGTCGATTCATCGCTCGTGATGGTGCAAATCCTAGCAGTTTTTGTAAATTTTGGCGAATACTCATCGTACAAAGTATATACAAAAAGATGAAAGAGCAATCTGTGTAATCATCGCCCATAAGATTCCTGTAAAATTAAAATAACGTGGAAATTTCATAAAGATATCCGATTAAATGATAGATCACTATAGTTTTATTTCACTTGCCTTCATAATTTCTTTATTTACTATCTTCTTCCTTTGGCATTTATTTGCTTGTCCATTTTATTAAATGTGCAACACGCAGCGTGTGGGAAACAAAATATCGTATTCAATACAGCCAAGTAAACTATTGTTGCGTATCGAAAAAAAAAACAAAAATTAGCAATGACTCCAAAACAAAGCTAAAAAGATACCTGTGAGAAAGGCCTTGAAGCCATGAAATAGGAGTGAATGGTAGTTTTGCGACAATTTTTCCATCAAAAATCGAAGAAAAAGTCGATAGTAATGCAGTAAAGGCGAAACCAATGGCCAGCATACTTTTCATTTTGAATATATTCATATCTCGGTTTGTTGCTTTCAATTTTTCTTCTTCGCGTTCAATTTTCCGCTTTGCATTTCGATCTGCTTCAACAGTTATTTCTTTCTGAAATCCTTTTCAAATGATAAATTAAACTAAAATATAAGATAAAAATTACAAAAAATTACAAAGAATACTACAAAACAAAATCCATTACCCTCCTTTCAAGTTTTTTCGTTTTCCTTTCCATTTCATTTTTCAGCCTTTTATATTGATCACTTCGGTAAACAAGTAAATACGTCAGCAATTCGCCAAATAATGCAGTAAATGTTGCTATAAAAATAATTAATAAACAGTCAGCATACATCCCTTGCCTGCAAAAAATTTAGAAAAAGAAATCTGGATTTTGATCAAATTGAATTGAGAAAATGAATTTATGAATTTCTATGAATCAGATTGCAGATTCACAAATAACTGATAAAAAAATATGGTTATATAAGATTTAAGAAACATTCAAATAATATTCACTGAACCGTATAACAATTTATTCTTAAAGTAACAATGAAAGCAATAAATGTAACAAAATAACGACTCATTTTAATTTAGTTTAAAATCGGAATCTGTTGAATAAATGATGAAATACAAATAAAAATGCGGTAATTCACAATACTCTGCTCTATTCACCGCACAATATTTTCTCAAATTCTACAAGATAAATCGACTAATAAATTTGGCAATAAATAAATAAATATATATATATATATCACAAAAACGGTTCAATATTAATTTCGAAAGCTGATAATGGCTTATTTAGGCCAAATGAAACAATGACATCAGGATGTAAAACTCCTAAAGTTCCAAGCGTAATATTCTTTGGACCGATTACCTTTGCACAACGGCCGGGCAGAAACGTTGGATCTAAAATTCAAAAATTAAAAACAACAAACAAACATCTTATTTCACTGATTTTTGCCAACATAAACTGATGGACATACTATCATGCGCACTTATATAGTAGCCAGTACCATCTTTTGACCATTTTATGGCTAACGACAACATAAGTCGATCAAGCAACCCATGAATTGTCTCGAATCCAGATGTTTTGTTATAATAAACTGCAGCTAGCCTACGTTCATTACGAGCACCAACATCTGAAATTAAACTGAAATTAAACTGAACCAATCTTTTTATTTATCTGGCTTCATTAAAAAACAAAACGGCTATCGAATAAAAAAGAAATTTACCAGACAAAGAACATTTTAGCACTACATCCTGTAGTTCAAACAACTGGAGAGGTAAAGGCATATCTTTGTTAGATGCAATTGTTTTTAATAAACCAGGCAGAAGAGATGTTCTAGCCACCTAAATTAATAAAATTTTTGCAAGCGAAAAAAAATAAAAAGAATTTAACAATCGGTAATGATTCATTTTCATTATCACCATTTGATTTAGAAAAAAAATTAATAGAATAACTTTTTTTTATGAAGACTATAGTACCTGAAACTCTGAATTTTTTGGATTAGAAATTTTAACAGCTTCATTCAGCTCTTCTATTCTTCTAAGCTTTGATGATATATCATCACCGCTACACTGAAATAAATTTGTTTTTTGTCTAAAATAGCGTAAAATTAAAATATAAATGATAATTTTTTTGACTTCTACGATAAAACCTTCAGAACAAAAAAAAACTGAATGAAACATATAGCGAGAAAAGAAACCAACTAAGGCAAAATTTAAAGTTTCTGTCCACCCAGCAGCAGCAATTTCAAATCGAATAAGATCAGATAACTTATTCAAGGGAAACGGTTCAGCAATAGTATTAATATTTGGAAGCTGCTGTTGAATATTGTTATACCCATAAGCAATAGCTATATCTTCAGCGATATCGCATTCATGTAATATATCATGTCGTGTTGGTGGCACAGTAACCTTAAAAGAGCCAAAATATTTATGAAAAATATTTTAAGCAACCTTTTTCAATTAAGATTTGAAATCAAATTTACTTCTAATTTATATTCTTCAGCCAATTTGCGACATGATATCGACATTCGTGATAAATATGCCATTATTTCATCATAATTCATGCAAACTCCGATTCTTTTATTGATATTCCTGATATCTACAACCATCTGATGATAATTTAATTTCTGAAAAGGAGAAATAAATTATGTAAAAAATTCACAACGATAATTCTATTGTGTCAATTAATTTTAATTTTTTCATTAATCATTAAAGGAATCAAAAATTCAAGTGGTGAATTTAAGAATTTTTCCCACATGATGGCTCAACGTTCACATATACATGCATTCTTAGTGAAAATTACACCAATGAAAGTTACCCTCATAACGCATTGATAAAGTGATGCTCAAATAAACTTTATCAGACTCCAAAATATGAAAATTGAAATAATTATCTTGGAGTGATCTCTAATTTTAAATTACTATTATTTTTCCTCTGATTTTTTTTTCTCATTATTATTACATATCATTTCTGGTTGATAAAGCACCACTTATTTTGATGAAATGTGATGATTTCCAGAGAAGAAGAATAGAGAAGAGAGAACATATTAGCTTCATAAAGGCATTTTATCAGCGTACATCAGCACAGATCTTTATACATGAGGAACTAACAGACGCTTTCGAAATAAATACTGGTGTTTGTCAAGGCTGCCCTTTCCCTTACAATATTCAAATAAACGATAGATTGGATAATGGACATAACTTGAATATGCTAAGGATATAGATTAAGCATGTAGATAATGGAAATAGCTTGAATATGTTAAGGATGTAGGATAATTGAAAATTTTATGACAACAACACGAAAACGTACCGGGTATACAGAAGTCGCACCGTCTGAACTTTCGACTAAAACAGGATCAACTCTAAATTTATAAAATTTTAATTTATATTTGTTGAATGATGTATAAATATTACCAAAAAATTTTTCAAATTATTATAATTATTAATTTTAAATTATTATAAAATTATTACTATTATAAGCGTTAAATCAAATAGCATTATCAAGGCAACAAACTAACTGAAAAGGAACTTTACAATATTGGCTAAATAATGCCACAATAGTATCTAACACAATTATTGCTTTTTCAAGATCGGTGGCCGTTGCTTCAATAAATATATTCTTTGTGTTCAAAGTTATTCTGGAATGTTCACCTGAAAAAGAAAATACATAATGGAAGAAAAAACATTTTCAAAATATGTAACATAAATTAATATAATACATATATAATTAAATTCGTATTCCTAAAAAAAACCATACAAATTAATTCCAATAAAATTTACCATTAATTATCGGCGGCATTGAAAGTACGATTCCTCGACTATCACGAATAATTGGATAGTGTTTTTTATTGGAGATAATGCGAAGATATGGTTTTAAATGGCTATCGTTCTGAAAAAGAGTTGAATTCTGAAAAAAAATATCTTTAAGTAATCTAAGGAAAAAATAAAATTTAAAATAAAAAATAAAATAAAAAAAGCAAATTTTCAGTTAATCTAAACGAATTTAAACTAAATATGTAAAGATGTTACCGAATATAAGATCATTAACTCTTCTGCTGTATATTCTTTAGTCTGGCCGAGAGGCTGAAAACGAATTTCTGACGGAATTTCAGCCCCATATTTGAATGGACCTTCAAAAATAAAAAAATTTCTGTTCGAAGCAATAATCAAAAAATATAAATTTTTACTTACCCTTGATGGTATCATAATCATGTGTACCTATAGCAACCAATGTTCGTTTTCGGCAAATATTTTGATGAAGTTTATCTTGTAAATCAAGAAATGAAGCATATGCATCCGAATCTAAAGTCACATTTCGAAGAATAGCGCCCACTATAAAAGGACGTACAGCAGCTGTCTCTGGTAAAATAATAATGCGTTCTTTCTGCTCAGCATTTGATAAACTATATTTTGGTGGATTCAGCCTAGAAGTAAGCAAAATCAAAAATAGAAAAATATGGTTACTATTTTTATGTCTTGATAACTAATTAGAACGAAAAAATTTATTTAACTGGTTGATTGGTCAGCACTAGTTTATAATGGAAAAATAGCATACATATCAGATGTCTATCTAGAAAGCATTTGATACTATTTCCCACAGTAAATTGTTGGCCATTAACAGATATGGCGATGCAGTGAGCTGGCATAACTGGATAGAAGATAACTTGAAAGACTAACACCAAGCTGTATATATCAACTCTTTCTTCAGAGCTCTAAGAGACGACTCTAATTAAATTAGGCGTCCCTCAAGATAGCTGAGTCGCAGCATTATTTTTTTATAATACATTAACGATATCACTATAGTTATTAAATTCTACCATTCATCTTTATGCTGATGACTGCAAAATTTATTATTCACAAGACAGATTAAGATAATTTGTGCTATAAGATGATCTCAACAGAATTACTAATTAGTTATTTGACATGCAAATTACGGTTTCCATTCAAAAGTATAAAGTATTATATAAAAATTCGAAAGGATTCGATCTTCCTAATCTCCTTTTTAATGGTAACATAATCAGGCGTGCGTCAAAAATCTCAGTTCTTGACATAGTTGTGGATGAAAATCTTAATTTCGACCCTAACTGTAGAAACATAGCAAAAGAATCCTCAAGAACACTAAATTTTATTTTTCGAACGTTTAAAAACGACAAACAAATGAAATCTTTCTTATCAAAATATACAAAGCGTTCGATATAAAGCAAAAGCAATTTGTTATTCCCATAGATACCGCAAATCAAGAAAATTAATTGAAGGACTCCAAAAATATTTTGCATGTCGTCTCTCTCCTAGTAATAATGAAACATAATTAGATAACCTAGATTTCTTCTCATTTCGGTGAAATTTGACACCAATAAGATCTATGAGCTAAAATTATTAAAAGTCATGTGTAAAGCTTTAATTTATAAATTTTTCAGTAAAAACTCGTGATTTTTTCATTTGCAACATTAATTAATAGAATAAGCCGTCGAACGATGTAGTACTAATCATCCTTAATTTCATTTGGCCTCATTTATTGTTATTAATGGAAGCATATGGTGCTTTGTCGCCTTGATCAATTGTTTTCAAACAAATTACTGACAATCTTCTAGAAATACTTACTGCTGATTAAATATAAGAATGGCTCGTGAAAGACCTTCAATTGATAATAAATCATATCGATTTGCAGGTAATTCGATTTTATAAATTTCTTCTTCAACCGATTTTCGTTGATTCCCTTTCTGGATTTCTAGATTTTCATGGACCTGAAAATATTTCGATGACTTAGCAATGAAATTTCATGTTCTATTAAAACTTTAAAACAGAAAGTAAAAAAACTTACGATTTCGTCAAGTTCCAATCCATATTTAAAGAACAGATCATCTAGTTCTTCTGAAGCTAAAATCAAATTGAAATTACAGCAATTATCCGAAAAAAATTGGATTAGTAAGTAAGCACAATAAAAAAATCCACACTGGCTAACATTTTTCTAAAAAGTTAAGACATAAAGCCCAAACAATAAAATGAAGACAAAAAAACTAACAACAAACTGATCATAGCCAGTTATGAAGACTGATTTTTATTATTAAAATGAAAATAAAAGAAGAGCCGAGCGCTAGTCGATTACCTAGCGCACAACCACTTAACATTTTCTATTATCCTTGTCTTTTCACCTTGCAAAGAATTAATCCCGAAATAATTGCACCACTGCTGTGCACATTCCCATCGCACAATTTCCTTACAAATTTGTTTCGTTAACTAAGAGAGGATATGTCCTGTCGCGAACTATTCACTTCATTGAGTAACTGCTTATTTTTGCCTAACAATTTTATAACAATTCATTCCCATGTTTCTCCTTTGACCTCATTATTCTTTACAATAAGTGGAAAGAATAATCGACGAGTGAACAAATTTAAAGGACAAAATGAAAAAAGAAAAGTTTTCCATAACTAAGTCATCAACAAAGCTGGCAGACAACAATAAACGAAAAACTGAACGTGCGAAATGAAACCTACCACGGTCAACAAATTACTACAAAAGAAAATGAAAAGAAATGGCGTAATTTTCTAGGCCCTCAGTTATCTACAAACTCTCGAGACATGGCTTTCGATTTTAAGTTAATTTTATCAAAGCGGATGGGCCAAAAACAACGAACAAGGCGTACGCCCATTGCCACAACGAATTCTCGACAAAGGCAAATGGTAAGTGAGCAAATGAAAACGAAATGACGGCCGAACAGCAGCAAATGACAAGTGAGGAAGTCCCTATTTCGAGATAATTCTCCATACACATTTCCTTAAATTATTTACAGCTACTTTTATAAGGAAACTCTCTCCTTTCCATTCTGTAACTGTTACGTCAGAAAATTAATAAGAAAGGTAAACTTACAATATGAACGCCCAAAAAATTTACCAATCAGTGACCGACGAACACCAATTGTAGGCATAACGGACGGAATTGCAATAAAATCAGTAAAAATCTAAGAATCAAATCAAAATCAAAAAACTCACTGTAATATAAAATTCGTCTTAAGACCGAGACAATTGTAGCGCGAAGTGCTAATTTGATTTGAACCAGGAATTCTTATGCCATGGATTGCTCGCGCGGTCTGTTGAGGACTACTTCCTGAAGCCTATGAAGATTCTCCCCTGAGTTGCGGAGATATGAAAGTTTAATTTCTGACAGTCGTCAATGTAAGTGATTTGTTACTTATTTCATGGAAATGATATGTAAGGTTCGTGAATGAGCGAGTGTGGCACTCACCATTTCTGCTCGTTTATGCTTGCTCCGTTTGTTCGATCCGGGAAATTTCGCTAGTGAATCACTTGACGGCGAAAATATTGCGGGAGACCAATCGGATGCTTGAAGGACAAGTTTAGTTCTAGCGAGAATGCAAGCATAGGGTCTGTGGACCAGTCAGCTAATAAGCGATTCTGCCCCACTCTGCCTCAATTTCCATGTTTTATGTTATATTGCCATGTTTTATTTAAAAAATTTTATTTGGAAAGCTGATAAATAGCAAAATTAAAATTCATAATATACTGAAAATGAAATTTTTCAGTAAATTTTTCAGAGTTAACCAAAAAATTTTGGAGCATTTGGACAGTTTTGTTCCTAATTTTTATCAGTTGCTTATTGTTTAATTGATAAGTTTATGTCCCATCGCTTCATAAAAAAGCATGTTTGGAGCAATTATTATTCGTTTGGAAATATTTTCGACGATTTAGGTCATTTTCTGGTACTTTCTTTAAATCCAAATTATGATTTACATCTGATTCAATTATGATAATGATAGTTTAGCTATGAATTGTATCGTATATAATAATAGTGACAATAAGGCTAATAACAAATTAGGATGGTTAGGACTGTGCTAATTGTGCTAACAATGAAAGGCTCAATTTTTAATGGAAAATTTATTATGAAAAATTCAGTCATAGCAAAAATTTTAAGTTTTGGTTTGTTTAACAAGGTGATAATTTGTGAACTTCAGTGTGACTCTCTCGTATTGCATTTATCATATGGATCCAGTGAGAATGCTCTGCTCCAGGCGCTTTTCCTGATATTATCACTCGACCGATTTCTACTCTACAAAAACAAAAAAAAAACTTTTTCGAATTATCTTTCATAAAAAATGAATTCGGTTGGTGCTGTGGAACTATACTTATGCTTATACATCTATACTTATATCATTAGATGAATATCTGAAGTGATATTTTAATGCAACCAAATCAAAAATTACGATTGTTCTGCAACGTAAAACGAAGGGGCAAAAAAAAGTAAGAGAAAAGTAAAGAAACAAGATTACCTTTGTTTCTCAATTTCATTGATCGCAACATTTTCACCGTTTGCAGTTGGTCTGCTTGAAATTACATTTTTTTCGATATTTTAATAAGTTAAAAATAAATTTCAAAGTATTGAAGGCAAAAAACAGCTTAAAAACCTTAAAAAAATAGGATACCTTATTGCGATAAGTTCGATAACAGTAAAAGTCAAAATTGATTGATAAAGATCGCTTCGGGGAAGATCGAATGTAAAAACCTGTTCGAATCGAGGATCACTGCCGTATTCCATTAATGAACGCCTCTTATCTCGAGTTTTTCGACCAATTAGTAAATGAATCTCGACAATTACACCTTAACAGCTCAAGTATTGAAAGTCAAAATTTTCATCTTCCAGCAGCATTTGCCATTTCCCTTATGGTTTGCTCAATTAACCATTATGAAACCTTTTCATTTGGGATGGATTCTCAGAGCTATTCGGATTATAAGTTTATTGAATTTTTCTAAATTAAAATAGCTCAAATTAGAAACATGAATAAATTAGATTTGATTTTTTTGAACATTTCTTTTGAATCAAATTTCCTTTTTGGTTTCTTAATATATTCGATGATTCCTTGGTGATAGTTCAATAAAAAAATTTAATAACTTGAATTTGTTTCACCAAGTAGTCGCAAATTAGTCGCGCCGATCAGAATAACTGTAAGGCGTTCCGAACTTGGAAGGTAACGAAGCGAAATCTCCAGTTCTCCAAGATCCTTTATTAGCGAAAACAAATTTGGTTAAATTTGATTTTAATGGCCAATAATAATAATAATAATAATAATTTGAAAAGTTCTGATTGATCAAATATCAAAAGTGAGCCAACTATTTTTCAAATTCCATGCATATAGGACAGGACAGACGCTTATGAGTATTATAGTAATAAAAGTTTTTACAGGTGACGAGGCGTTCAAAATAAAGTCGTATTCAGTAAATTTATCGATAGGTTTTTCGTCGATCCAGAAATCTTTTTCCGCGATCACTGTTGGCTGATTTCTATAATTGATCACGCATACAGTATTAATACGAAAAAAAATTGATATAAGTCTTAGTTTGACTTCCATGACTTGATAAAATCATATTTCACTACCCGAGATATCCAATAATCCGATATAATTCTTTGTCTGGAAACCCTCAAATCTCTTCCTAAAAAATATTTTCAAGTGCTTTTTTACTTTATCAGTCCGATTTTTATTAAAAAAAGAGAAAATTAAGAGAAGAAAATTGAAAGAAGATGGATTCGGAATGAAATCGACTTTCCAAGATGGATTTTTCCAAATTAAATATAATAATTCACCTGTCAAAGTTACAAAACTGAATTTTTATTACACACACATGAAATAGATTACGTTTAACTTCACAGCTGAAAAATTCATTGAAAACTGTAGTTGTGCGTCGAAGAACAGGTAATGTTTTAAAACAGATATATTTGTCAGGAGAATTTTCCTAAAATTTTTATTTTCCTTATTTTCTATTAGATACTTCGAAAGAAAGAAGATTTCTTTATAAATTTTAAATGATTCAGGATCGAATTACGCTAAATTAGATAAGAAATGGTTTTAAAGGCGATATTTATCAGTTATCATTCTTACATCGATCGTTATCGTCGGTGATCGTCGTGACAGCCAACTTTTCCTAACATTTTTTATCACATATATTCGTGCAACACATTTTGCTCCATGTCTTGCCACTGTCGGTGGAACATTTATAAAAGAACGCATATAAATTTCCAACTTTTCATCGTTTTTATTATAATGTAGGCCTAACTGTGCTATCAGTACCATCTGAATTTAACATGTATTATGCACGAAATCAATCGATTCTAAACAAACAGAGTTATTGCCGGGCTTTAGATCAACATGAATTTCTTCGAAATACAAGCTTAAATCCAAAGCCGTAAGCCAAATTTAATTTAAAAGCATTACAGTGATCGTAAAGGATAACCACGAACATGTCGACGAATTCGCGTTGAATCCCACCAGAAGGCAGATCAAATGGTATTGAAAACGCGACCAATCAAAAATTGATCAAATAAATAATTTACCAAATTTTGTGGAAATATAATTTTTGAAAAATAATAAAAATTAAAATATACTCGCAATTATTTATACAGCTGTTCAACATTTTCGAAATTTTCGATCATTTATCGATCATCATTCTTGATCAATATTGATTCAGTTGATATCGAAAAACACCAATAATCGTAAGTTATCAACTTAAATTAGCCAAAATTGAGGAAATCCTGATCAAAATAAAACTAGGAAAAAGGGTTCGGGAAAATCCATAAGACTGTTCAATTTTTTTACTTTTTTCCTTGTCTCATTGTTTTTTTAATTTTTCGGTTTCCTTATATTCCATTGCTTTATTAATTTGAGCAAAATTGTGACACAATAGGATGTAATTAAATCTGCGACCCATCGGCTTCGTGCAGCGACGTCTAAGCATGACAGAGGATGAATTACCGCGCTGCGAGATATCAAAATTGTTAGCGAATCATCTATGCTCCGAGCTAGCTGCTGATTCCTCGGCATACCAAACGTTTCTAACTTTATTAACGTAGATAGCCTGACTAGAAGTGATCAGCACCAACCACATTTTTATTCTCGACAAAAGAACGACTGTCTTTATCTAAATAAAACTACAGATTTAGAACTCATAAAACGTTTCATCTTGTATCAGATCTGAAGAACTTCATGCAAGAAGTATCATTGATTAAGATTAAACCAGTAATCCATACATGATAAGTTTGTATCTAAACAGACAAAAGCCTGATCAATTCTTCTCTTTCAGCCCTTTTTGACAACCTACTTCGCTCGTTCGAATAGACATCGAACTAAACCAAGGAAAATTCGCATATCGTTCACTTGACAGTAGTCTAAATAAGTTATGAGTTATAAAAAGCTAAAAAATGAAGTTTACTTCGTGTTTTCCATCTAAAAAATATCGCTGTCGTATTCTCATTGCAGAATTATCCTACTTTCATCATTTTAAACTTGGCGATTAAACCTTTTTATTCGAATAACGATAAAACGTCGACCGCCATTGCTTCTTACAAAGTACAAAGCAGCCAAATATTAGAAATCAAATAAATCACTTGGCTGATTGTCATCACCATTCCTTCCTCGATTCATCGCTGCTTGTTTATAGTCATTTGGGGTCGCCATAAGCTTTAGTTAATTTTTGCTTCATCCGACTAACGACCTCCCATTTCTCGCCTACTGATAATGATTCGTTCTACTCATTTTAAACATAATATTTTACACAAATACATCATTACTTAGCCAATCATTAAAGTAAACTTCTGTACTTCAAAAAATTTTATACAATTCAAAATCATAACAAACAATGTCCTTATTGACAAAAACAAAAGAGCACAAAAAGAAAAAATTTAAAAAAAAAAAAGAAAAATTAGTTGCTTTTTATTATCATTTAGCATTAACGAATTTTCAAGATCAATATTTCCAAAATATCTGCTTAAAGTGGGTAAGAAAATTATATATATGAAAAAAAAAGATAATGCAATGAACAAATCAGATCTTTTAATCGACCCTATTATTAATGGAAACTATTTCGTATACGAGTTCGCTGAATGCGTATACTCGATCCTTCCGAAGATAAATCGCTTAATCGTTGAGCATTGTAAACATTGAACCAAGAAAGATATGAATTTAGGATACTCGAAATTTGCTTATCGTCCATGCCCATTGAAGCCAGAAACTAGATAAAACAAAATAATTGAGAAAATCCTGAGATCACCTTAGCTACAGGAAAGAAACCTCTATGTAAGAACAAACCTGTTTATTAATTTTACCTTCGAGATCACTAAGCAAAAAAAATGCACGTGAATTGAACAAGTCCTCACATTGTGACTGATTGATTTTTTTTAACCATCTGAATTAAGAACTATTTAGAAATCACGAATATTGAAAAATAAAAAATCTTCATTAATCTTAAGTTTTCTGAAATTTACTATAATAAATTTTGCGGATGAAAAAGGAGGAAACGTACACAGATATCGGCATCCTCGGAGAAAGAGACTCATTTGAATATACTGAATGCATATAACGGGATTCTGATACTTTTTCTTTCACATAACGTTTACCTAATTCAAAATTATAAATAATCGATGAAATTAATTTATAAAGATGGCGACCTCGTACCTAAAAATAGGGTTAAAGTAAGAATAAAAATTTAAAATCGGATAAAAAACATTACAATCTGTTAAATAAATTATACATTTGGATAAAAAATTGAAATAACTCAATAAAAAACTCAATTTCACTGAAGAATTTAAATTTCACCTGGATTTCATAAATCGTCTCGTCGTCTTCTTCAAATGATTTCCGATGAGCCTTATCATAATGCGTTTGTGTGACAACTTCCATTACTGGTGAAATACATTTACGACGTTTTTTCACTGCATTGATCGAATGAATTAATTCGACAGAAGTTGATTTTATTCATAATGCTCAGCTTCATTCTAAAGACAGATCTGATAAAGTGAAAAATTTACTTGTTGGCTGTTCGTCAGAAGCACAATCACGCGATGGATATGCACAAACTTTTAGTGACATTCGCTGTTCACCTACTAGTTCTCCACTGAAAAAAAAATTTCACCAAAGTTATATCAGCATAATAAATTTTGATACTTTCCAAAAAGGAACAAAGTTATAAAAAGCCTTTTTTTTCACAAAAACTTACTTTACTTCTAAAATAAAAAAAAGAAATAAAGGTCTGCGATTGATTCCTCCGCTGCACGATGAATAGCACTGGAATTGAACAGGAATAAAAAATGGGACTGATGGATGAGATAATGTTATCATAACATGGGGGAAGGGAAATGAGCTCTGTCCACTGACATGTATTGCTTCAGGAATATCAACCACAATGAAATGCTCTCGAGTACAAATTGCTGAAATAGAATTGTTATAGGAAAACTTTGAAAAAAAAGATTAAAATGTGAAAAATAATATACGATACAAATCGGCAAAAAAGTATTTTTTATAGTGAAAAACCATAGCATAAGCAAATATAAACAAAAAAAAACACCATCAGATGCTAAATGCAATGGACAACGATGAACCGGCTGTGAAGCATAAGCAGTTTCCACATATCGAGCAAAAATACGAAGAACTGATAAAGTCGGAGTTTCAGTATGGAACAGTATCGCGAAAGGTATAGATATAAAAGGTTTTGCATATAGATAATCTCTTTCCACAGAATACTGTAAATATCTTTTCCCACAAAAGAAACCAGAAGATAAAAAGGCAAAAAGCTGATTTCATCAAAGTTAACCAATAATGAAACAGTTTAAATTCAGAATAGAAAATACATCGATCTTTTCCCAATCTTTTGATATTTATATTATAAAATGCTAATATCACAATTTTGTCGTATCGATAAGCAAAGAAAATATTAATTGCCTATGCTTAATCCTAATTCTGTAACAGTGGAGAGCGGTATTATGAAATAAGGCGCAAATCCCCAACTGAAATTCGATATCTTGTCAATTCTGTCATGAGAATAGAATAAAATGAGAAGAATGCCAAAAAACTAGTCTAAAGAGTGAGAAAACTAAAGTAAGTTCCTATTCTATTTCTCATTCTAAAATCTCATTATATCCTAATATCCTAAAGATAAGATTATTTTTATGGTCTATGGTTAAATGATTTAGTTCACGATTGCGTTCGCCGATTTCGCAGTTTATAAATAAAGGTACTTTACGATCTCAACACAAACGGTAATCGGCTAAAATAGACAGATTATTATGCAAATATCAGTTGCCTTAAACATCTCGAATAGAAGTATGAAAAGTGTTGCATCTCAAAAAATTTTAAAATATTAAATAACTTACTATATAATCAGCACTTCTTCGTTTGATTGCTGGTTCAATTTTAACATTAAAACCATAAGAACCAACATTTGATGAACTGGAAGATATTTTAAAATATGAAAATGTGAAAACAAAAATGATAATAATATAAACATAGTCACGAGCTATGACGGAAATTCAAATGAACGAGAATGAGAATAGTTAAAAGCAAACAAATTTTGCTCAAGAAATTCTTTATTCTTGGAAAATATAAAATAAACACATGAATAAATGTAAACAATTGAATAATGGAAAAGCTGTGGGCGGTTATTCTCATTCCTGAGCCTCCATGCTGGGATTATATTCTAGGCAGAAATAAACCACGGGTTAAAAAATGCAAGTGATGGAAATACCTACTGTGATACCTATATAATCTATATAGTGATTCTGTTATAAAGCTTGTTTGGCCTGACAAGCCGGCAGAGCAAGCCTAACCAGAAATAAATTTCCTTAACCATCAAAATAATCCATTTTTTTAAATGATATTATTTCTAGAGACTTAAAAAATTTATTACCTTGATCTCCAGTGCATCATAGAGCCTTTCATATTTTGATTAGCATGTCTGGGCTAAAATAAAAACATTAAATTTTTTAAAACATTGAATCTTAAATTCAAGTTTTCTAGAAAAGAATCATTTTTTTACTTAAATCATTTATAAAAATATGTTCTGAATTTTCAAGCATAAAATCATGAATCAATTTGCTTAAAAAAACTTAAATAAGAAAAAATAAAAAAATACATCATTCATAAAATCTCCAACAGTTTCAGAGCAATAAGATGTTTCAATATTTGTCCGGTAATTGCAATCCAAATTTTCATCTGCAGAATAATTAAGTCCCTAAACTTATAAATTAACAATATTAATAAATTTAGTAATTTTTTTTATATAAATATAAACAAATAGATTTCAAATATACAAATGAATAAATTTATATAAATAAGGAAATCCAAAAATTAATGGCCATTAAACTCACCCCATCTGCGATTCTTTTACATAAAATATCAGCAATATCGGAACCTGAACAATTAGAAGGAATATCCACCTAAAAAAAATTAATGAATTTAACAAGATGTAAATTATATTTTGGATAAATTAAAAATATTTAAAAAAAACTAACAAAATATTCATCATTATCCATTATGACAAATGCTTCATTGTCCAACGATTTATCACCATAAATCTGCTCACCACTGAAAAAAAAAATTATGAAATTATCGCAATAAATCTCCTAACATTTTATCATGAAAACTGAGGAAATATCTCCCAAATTTAACTGTCCAATCTACACATTATTTTAAATTTATGGCTCTTCAAAAAATTTCATGAATGTTTCATTTCATTTCATTATTAATCCATTATAAGTAATGCTAACGCTTTCTTTAATATTACTCAAAATAATTTTAATACAAAATATTGTTATCATAATATTGAATACTATAAAATACTAGTCAAAGAAAAAAGCCTCTACCCTACAGATTTAAATAAATAATTTTAATTTTAAACTAATTTTTATAATTAGATTAAATTAGATTAAATTACCTACTACAAAAGTAAAATTTTAGTAATTTGAAATTTTTCTACGTGTATTGACGATGTTCTTTTCGATTGTCAATAATATTTTAGATCTTGGTTTAACTGTTTTCTTAAACTTAATATTTGTTAAACTTTGTATGTCCATAATTGATTGAGTCCATCAAATGAATTGAGGAATTAAAAAAATATTTTCTCGATGCACTGGCTACCTACAGACTTATTATGCACAATTTAGACTATGTAAATAGACTGTCAAGCAAATGTTTTAGGCTCTGCTCATTAAGTTTTCAAATAAAATACAGAAAATAAAGTTACATCATAGACCTATTTTTTAATAAAACAGTAAAAATCCAATGAAAAAGGAAAAAAATGGGCACCATTGATGACTATAATCGCTTTCCTTTTTCGATGTTAAAAAAATAAGCCCTTGAGAAACTTCTTGTGAAAGTGCTGACTGGTCATCGAAATTACTCAGATGACTGTTCATGTGAATTCCTTTTTCTCCTCTATTTTCCATACTGAAAAACTGAATCTAAATTTATAAAAAAATTATTATAATTAATAAAGAAGGGAGATGACTGAGGGATATGCTGTTAAGAGTAAGGTCGAATAAGACGAGTTCGACTCCTGCACATTGACAAGAGTGAACATGTCATTAAAAGCTTGAAGGAGCCACCTTTGCCTTCGTCCTCATGTGATTTATTGGAGAGGAATTATCATTCTAGCCAAACCAAAACGATGACCGCTGCAAGAAGAATAAGAATTCTGCGATTAAGAAGAAAAAACATAGAAATTAATTCTTTTTTCAAAGCTTATAGATTCAATCTTTTCATTTAACAAAATATTTGATTCTGCAAATATTATTTTCTTTTCATAAATTTAATATCCAACATTCCCAACTTTTTTTCCACTAATTAATAATAATAATAAGAATAGCGGATAGGGATGAATAATGGTGCGTTGAGAAACAGGACGCTAGAACATCTTCTGCTCTAGACAAGACTGAATATATTTGCCATTTGCCAACAAAAAGTTCGCGTGATGCTGACAATAAATTTGTATCAGCAGTGGTTCTCTGATAAAATAACTAACACTAGCATAAAATTCATCATATCAGTATTTTTGCGATATCTGTTTAAACATTCTAGAGCCGATTGCGAAATAACGAAAATTTATTAATATTCTATTAAATTCTTCCATGTTTTTCGGTTAAGCGAACATCAGTGATAACGGTAAGTCGACTGCGATTATTTGGTGATAAAACAGTGACGGATGAAGAGAGGGCGACAATATAAATGAGACGAATTCTGGAAAAACAGCGAAGAAACGAGATATAACGACAAATAACACGAAAATGAAAGAGAACAAGAATAAGAGAAAGTAGCGAGCGAGTGCATGACCCTTCCTTGACGATGGACATTTTACCGAAAGGCCCCTTAGTACCCGTCCCGCGACCCCATCTACCAACCTACCACTAACCTTTACAAACCCCTTACAGTCTTAATTTGTATTGCCTTAAAAAAATAACCAGGAATAAGTTGCTACCGATTTTAGACAATCGTTATTGTTACTCAATCGACGATTGCAGCTCTATAATCTGCAACGTTGATTTTGAAGCGCCAGTCATGATGAATAAGCGAATTGTATTACAGTGGGTAGCCAACAGTAGTGCGACAATCCAGTCCCAAGATATCCCAAGCTTTTTCCATGAATGCTTTCTTTTAGTAGGCATTTGCCACTTCGTACATGGCTAGGCCGAATAGCCATGCGACTACACTTGGAAACACTGAATTTGGAGAGCGAAGTCTGAAACTTACGATTTCTGTTGCATGCTCTCTTTCAAAATGCACTCCCTCATTAAAATATTCTATGCAGTCCATGCTTTTGTGTTATAATCTATGAGATCCGAGGAGGAAAGTTTGCCAAGCACTGCCTCGGTTGAAGCAACATACTTCCCAAAATCCATAAAACCCTAGTATTTTCGATGAAACAATATTTTATAGGTGAAAATGTTGGCTAGTGTTGACTCCTTCAAAAAATCCAGCAGTGAGTGGAATCTTTTATGGTTCCAGTGAAGAAAGGTTGCGCTTTCACCATTCACTTCTTCCATCGTCCATTCGACCTGTTTGCTTTGCTGCTTTGCTTAGCATTGTTGACTGAGCCAAGCGACCCTTTCTTCTTCATTCATTTACTTTCGTCTCACATTGGTTACTTCATTTTAACGTTCTTTTCTTTATTACTATTTTCCTTGACGAAATTTTTCACTGCCAAAGTCAAAATTTAATACATTGCATTCTACTCGAATCGAATACTACAAATAATTCGATTTTTGTCGAAATTCAGTGAAAATTTTTTGCAATAATTTATTATTGTTTCTTATAATAAAATAAAACAAAAAAAACGAAAAAGAAATGAAAATCCGATTTATCGAAACTGAAATGAGCTTTTCGAAAGAATTCTATTCCGTTTTGGAAGTTAAAGTCGTTTCTTTTAAGTAATATAACTGTAAACTTTAGACCACCATTTTCTTCTGTTTGCTTTCTTTTGAAATTTTTGTGAAAAAAAATCCAAACGACGGGAAAAAAGCGATGAGAACCATTTATGACACTGTATGCTTTGTAAATTTCATAAAGAAAAGTAAGCAACGAAGAAATCAATGATGTTTATACGAATGCTTTCGATGCCCGGAAATAAGAGGTGAAGTGGTTAGCGTTCAACGTTTTTGGTTTTGGTTAAGCTAGACCGTTTGTTTGTTAGTTCCATAGGAAATCATGTACCAGTGGAAGTATATAATGGAACTAAGTGGACACCATGCGGACTGGTTTATTTCCGTCGGTGTCGAGAGCTGAACCCTTACCTCTCAGTACCACCATAAAATCATTAATACCATAACCAATACCTGTTCAATTATCTTCGACAAATATTAGTGCTTTTTGGAAATTTTACATTTTCTAAATTGAACGACCAATGGATTTCAATAATGAAAAATTAAGCCGACAGAAGATTCGACGAAATCGAAAGGGGGTAATCTTATATAGAATTGGAGCACTCGAGTCCACCGCACCACACTTCTTCTTCTTCTAACATCTCTCACCATTACTAGTTAGGCTGGCTCCAACAGCTACAAGGGTAAGACGCTTCCAAGCTGCGCGGTCTGATGCCATCGTCGACAGTAATAGAAGCCATTCCTTTTTCCATCGTCTAAGCTCATATATTGCTGGTCCACCTATACGTTCAAAATCTTTTCTCACCGTATCAGTCCAGGTCTTGATTGGCTTAGCAAGTAACGAAATATGCGACAACTCTTGTAGTGGACGGCAGAACCACCTAACCACCGAAGGTGACTCTCTGTGATAACATTATTAATACAATGGTTGTATTTGAACGAAGACGGATACAATCATGTGATATTTTATCCGCTCAACCGACTGTAAAATGTGCCTTGGACAAGAGTGGTCAAAGGTGGATAGCTTTTAAATAATATAACATAAAGATCGAATGAATCACGGTATATAGATGCGGATTTTCAAATAATGCTAAATAACGTGCCAGAAACTGCAGCAAGAATCGGATCAGGATCAATGTATACAAAACGAAAATCTTTTCGCCTTTCGTTGTGCAAGAAGCTGATAAAACGCTTCTTTTTATAAATTCATTGATACTTGAGGAAGTCCGATTTTAAATACCTTGGGTCCACTCTAATACCAAATGGGCAGGCAAAAGGCGATATTATAATGTGGATAACGGTGAATAATTTGCATTTCGTCATAACTGTCAGCGAAAAGGACAACATCATCAGTGTATTCAAGATCTGTGATACGATGCTCTGAACTGATTTGGACATCCCTTGAGTGCCGACAAGGAGTGTCCATTACCCAGTCTCTCGCATAGTTGAATATTGTAAGAGAAAGGACACAACACCTTGATGAACACCAGTTCTTATTTCGAAGGAATCTCCCTCCTGTCAGTTCCCCATTTACACAGACCTGCGCCGACGTGCGCTCATAAAATACCTTTATGAGTCTAATGATTTTCTCTGAAACACCGTCACATTCCATCACCCTCCAAAGCGGCGCTCTATCAATTGAATCAAAGGCAGCCATAAAGTCGATGAAACACATGACATTGAGTTGCAAATATCTGAAACGATGTTCTAACACCCTTCTTAACGTAAATATCTGGTCAGCACAATCGCGACCTGGTCTGAATCCAGCGATTAGGAACATCATGCCGTCTCGTACTTCCATAAATGTGTTGAGTAAGAGGGAAGCAAACATTTTCGCTGAGACGTCTAATAGGCTGATTCCTCAATAATTGTCGCAGTATGTCCTATCACCTTTCTTGAGAATTGGGAGCAGGATTGCTTTGCTCCAATCATCTGGTAATATTTCTTTCTTTCATACCAGAGAGTATATTTGTTATGAAGGTAATAGATATTTCTTCTTCTGTCGGGGGCTCGCAGTTGCAGCACAGCGCACCACACTATCTACATTTTTTGGAACACACTTCTATACCGCCAGGAAATCATTCGAGCGTATCGTAATTGATGAAAAGCCTTGTGATATATTACGAAAAACATTGGTGTTTTCCTCCGAAGAAACTGCAAAACTAATCGTAAAACCAAAGCGAAATATGGTAATATGATATGAAATGCCAATGATTAGGCCTACTGTAAACATTTGCTGACATTCTGAAGAAATTATCCATAAAAGTGGAAACTTCTGCATTAATCTTACTCTCTTAACCTTGCATTTTCTGATTCATTACCTATTCAGATAACTACAGCTAGCAACATTTATATTTTATAGGATGTAATGAAGCAATTCAAATGATGAAATCTCAAAATGGAGTGATGTGATGGCATATTTTTGATTAGCATTTTAATTCCCATTTAAATGTTAGAATTTCAATTCAGTTCGAAAAAATGCCACAAAAACTTTAATATTTATTTTTAATATTTAAAAGTAAAACTTTTAATATTTAATATTAAAAGTATATTTTATAAGTATAATATATTTTTAATATTACTTTAATGGTTAACAATTCATCTTCTCTTTACTATGAAAAATATCAGTGATATCAGTAATGACAAAGCTAATAAAGGTTGTCGTTAGGGTAACTAGCTCGTTCTTCATTTCTTCGCCAATTTACATTTATAACCATTTTCATTTGAGGCAATCATTTTCTCTTTTCGATTAATTTCGTTTCTTCCCGGAGAATTTCTTTCACATCCATTCTCATGAAGATTTTCACTTCGATTGGGTTTTCTTCTTTTAAATTGTTTCTTTGTAGCTTCAATTTGACATTCGTTTCCTTTTGGAATGACATTTGCAGCATTCCTTTCGCATTCTGTACTTTGCCTCTTTTCCAAGGAAAAATGGTTTATCTCTTTATTTGATCTAAATTCTGACTTATTCTTATTCGTTGCCTTTTTCCGTTCCCAAAAGCTGCTTTTATACGATGGAAGATTCAAAGTCATATCCGAATCTAAAATAGCGAAAAAATGGGAAAAAATCTAAAACGAAAAAATTTTTATAAAAAAAACCTTAATTCAAATTTATTAAAGGACATAAAATTACCTCTTGACGAATTAGCTGAACTACACGCATTTCTAGCAGCTTGAATATTATGCTTACGAAAAATTTCATCGGTCTGCAAATAAAAAAATTTCAAATTTTAAGGCAATATTTTTTTAAATATTTAATTTCATAGCTATTCTTTTTGCGAAATTCTTATGTATTCTTCGGTTGCAATTTTATAAAACATTTTGGTCCACTGTGCAAAAATTCGGATTTAGAACAAATGAAAATTTGACAGGTTTTGACCATATCGAACCATTTTTTGGAAAGTTCTTTGAAACCATATTTCTTTCAAAGATTATTTAAATTTTAAACCAAACTGGTATTTTCGTATACAAGAATGGAATTATTTTATCGAAATTTCAAAAAAAAGTTGAATGGAAAATAATGCCAACTTTTTGAGCAATTAAGCTTCCAGAAGATTCTAAAGTTTGGTAGGTTCGTCGTGAATTTTCGTTCAAAAATGAAAAACCATCCCATTCATCCAAATTGTTTAGTACCAGCCATTTCTGCAAATTTTGATAATTGTCGAATAATAATTCAACAGCATTTCGTCCTTTGAAAATTTTTAAATATTTCGGCTTCATTGAATTCTTTCGTATATTATTCACAGATTTGCAACTGGAACACTCGATTATGAAGTTGGCATTCAATCTGCAAAATATCAAATTTGTCTAGTACTATTAATGTTAATGTTAAATGAGCAGTTAAAATTATGGCACTTTTTAATGACAAAATCCTAATTATGTCGAAATAGTTAACCAATTAACAATGACCTAAATTAGAAATTAATGAGCAAACAATTGAAGAAATTTAATTTATGAAAATTAGTCATGTCTAGAAATACTCATCTTCAAACAAAGGTACATTCTTTAACATTCCCCAAGGATATCGTTACATTCCTTTAATTTCTTCGAATCCTATCACAATTTTTTTGCGATTTTTAGTTGCTATGAGAAGTGTACTGCGAGGAAGTTTGAAGTTAAAAGAATATTTGAAAAGTTTGACGTTAGAGGAATATTAAAAGAACAAAATTAGAATGAACAATTAGGATTGGGGGAAAGGATTGAGATAGTAAAAAAAAATTTAAGATAACATTTAATTTAATATTAATAATGGCTTTGGTGGTGCTATAAATGCCAAGGCAATATCAAAAGCAATTTGAAAAACTTTTAATAGAGGTGTTATAGGGATGTTATAGGGATGAGAAGTAGAAAAGATTTTGAAAAAATATTTCTTTATTTCACTAAAAATCACTAAAAATATTTAAAGGATACTTTTTTTCCGCAATGCGCACTCACATATCAATCAAAAAAATTTTCTTGCGTAAATATGTACTTTTTTCTAAGGGCACTTACCATTACTTGTTCCACTCGCTCCGCTCGCTCGTCAAACTAGAAATAAGCCAGGAAGTCCCTTGGCGATAGAAATACAGGTGATTCGCCAGCATCTCCCGTATATATGTAGATATATTATATTAAAATGAAAATTTAAAAGTTTTCCAATTATTAAAAGTACATATCTACGCAAGAAAATTATAAACTATCAACATTAAAGAGTTTAACTTTAGAACAATTTAAAATAAGCTTACTTATGTGAAAGTTGAATTTTTTCCTGGTTTAATTTCTTAAGCTCTGCACGTGCCGTTACAATAAGTGAATATAAACGATAGCGTAATTTTTTCGTCTCATTCATCGCTAGCTGTAATCGTTTCCGAATATTTTCATTATCCATATCGCTGTTGATTATATGTTTTACACAAATTTCTTCTTTTTGCTGTTGTTGTTGCTGTTTTTCTTCAGTATAATCAATTGGAAATGACTTCCCTGTTCAATTGTTTAAATATCTTTTCATAATTTGATGTATTTGAAACTGGCAGTAAAAAATAAGAAAATAAGAAAAAGAGGAAAAAAAGATTAGAATAAATAAGTTCTTGTGCAGAGGATCTTGTTCGTATGCTTAACTCAGTTTTACATCAGCAAGCGAGAGAAAAATTTCATAGTCCAATAACTACAACTTGAGAAAATTACAGGGGATAGTAATGTGCTTGTTAAAGCTATGAAGAATCGCCTCATAGGAGAAGAAAATTAAGGTCAAAAAATTTAATCATGACGCACAATTTAATCATATCTGTTGTTCCAGATATAACTGATTTCGATCGCTGAGCCATGCAACTTCAAACTGCCAAAAGAAGAGGAAATAATCTTTGTTATATATAAACTTAAGGCCAATAAAACTCCCGAAGAAGTAATCTTGAGGCCGACCTCTTCAAATATTATCCTATGTCCTTCAATAAATTTATTCTCTGGAATTACAAAAGGAAATAATATCTGAAGCAAAGCAATTCTGTTTCCAATTCCTAAGAAAAGATGTACTATATACTATGATATTACGACAATTATCGAGGAATCAGCTTATTAAACATGCCCAGGGAAAAATTCTCCTGCTGAATAGACTTTTAATAGTACGAGATAGTAGGATGCACCCTAATCAAGGTGGGTTTAGACCAGTAAGCCGTTGCTCACCAGATATTCACGCTACAAAGAGTGTTAGAATATCGCTTCAAATATCAATCCACCGTTTCTTGTTTTATCAATTTTGCAGCTGTCTTCCATTCAACTGATAAAGCAACGATCTGGAAGGAATTTGACGATGTTCCAGAGAGGATCGACTCAAAATTCGACTCAATAAGGCATTTTATCGGCACGCATTGGCAGAGATCTGTATATATGGGGAACTGATAGATCCTTTCAAAACAAGAATTGGTGTCGCTCAAGGCTGCATCCTTTCCTCTACAATATTCAACTATGCGATATACTGCTATGCGGTATGCAATATACTGGATAACGGACATCGTGTCGGTACTCAAGAGTTATATGACGGAGTGCCAAATTTTAAATATCTCAGATCCACTCTGATCCCAAACGACTAACGAAATATAAAAATACTACTTGGATAACGGTAAAAATTTATATAACTGCAATTCGCTCGATCTTACTACGATAAAGCTGCGAGATATGCCCGATGAGAATAGAGGATACTAAGTAGCTAACTGCCTTTGAGCAATAATGTCTAAGATATATTTTACGGGTTAGTCGAGCGTATAAAACCTCATATGAATGCATCCATCTTCGTTCAAATACCACTTGCATTAACAATACCACCATCTTCACTAGCTTTCGCTAGTTATTACAGCACGTTCTTTTTCATCAACCACAAGAATTGATTTTTCGTTACTTGCTAAGCTCTATGATGAGTAGCGTCACAAAAGCTAAAATGGACCAATCAAAACCTGGATTGATATAGGCAGAAAAGATTTTGAACATATAGAGGGACCAGCAATATAAGGACTTAGACGAAAAAAAAGGAATTACCGTGAACGATGACTGCGCAGCTTGCAAATGTTTTACCCTTGTAGCCAGAGCACCAAGCCTAAGCAGTAATGGTAAGGGCTGTTAGAAGGAGAGAAAAAAGAAAAAAAAAGAGAAGCGATGTGTAGAATTCAAATCTATATAGTCTACGATATCTTATCAAATTAATTGGCTGCCAAGAAGCAAGCACAAATGTATGGAAATAATCACATAATGAAATGAAATTATATAATTATATAAAATTTATCTTAACGATTAAGGCATAATAAATATTGCAGGGATATAAATGTAAAAAATTAATAGATTTTCTGAAATTCTAGAGATTTCTGAAACGAAAAGGATATGTGCAAAAATGGCGTCATTTACTTGATCCACAGCACAACGGCTGAAGAAAAACCCTAATTTGGAGTGGTGTTTTCATCCTATTTTCCACTTGTATACTTCCAAATTTCTCACAAATGATGGATAAAATAGCTAATAAAAAATCTTAAAAAATCTTACCAAGAGAATCGAATATCCAGTCATCACATATATATGCTAACTTAATCCTTGTTTCATGATCTTCATCCACATCAACCTTTTCCTCTGCGCTGTTTGGAGTTATGGAGTTATTAGAGTCACAAATCATTTTGGGCTAGCTCAAAATGATGATTAACTTTAAATTAAAAACGAAGAATTTTATAATTTTCGTTCTTTAAAATTTGAACATCGGAAGAAATTTCCTTATCAACATATTGTTATCAACAACTCCTCGCCAATTTACTTAAGGTCAACATCACATAGATTTTATTCAGAAGTCGGCCCAACCATCAAACAATCACCTATTGTAGTCGTATTTCTAATAATTTCTAACCTCGTATAATTTATTAACCTTCTAAAATCCAAGCTAATCCAAGTTATTGAAAATAAATTACCAAACTAAGAACACTTAAAATTTTCGAATTTACAAAATTTGGGAATATTCGCAATGATCGGAAGGTAATCTCCGTACCATATGGCACAATTTCCATGACGAAATATCGAAATTTGGAATAAATGCGAAGAATTTCTGTAATCAACAGCAGATCCCACTTTCATATTTTCCATTTTCCCTAAAAGGCTAAAAAACCTTTCTGAGAAATATTTGTTATTTTTAAGGCAAATCACTATAGTTTTTTAGCACAACTAACACTAACCCACCAACCCCTCTCCCTCTCCTCCCCTCCTCCTCCCTCCCTTTCCTTCCCTACTGTTTATAAACCCTCATTTACAACTAAAAAGAACAAGTAATCTGACAACCAGAAATAGAAGCTAAAAAAGTTTTAAAAATTTGTTTGGTCTCGAAACGATCTCTTCAAGCGGGAAATTTTTCAAAATTTAATCTGATTTGAATCGTTTTTCCGGTTCGATGGTAGGCTTCGTTGATTCGTAGATGTTTTATACTCTTAAACATTCTATAGTTGTCAATGGTTTATTTCGTTTGGTGTTTTTTTTCAATTGGATTTAGGTTACCTTTCCACTGATCAAGGTAGGTGGCTTCCTCACGCCCAACTAGCAAGTCCCCTCACGCCCAACTAGCAAGTCCCCTCACGCCCAA